CCCATACAGAACTGCAAATGTAATCGCAATTAAAATGTTACCTCCAAAAAGAATGACAGGGTATTGTATATTGTACTTCTTTTGTTTCTTCCAGCTGCTACCTTCACCATCCTGATGCTGCTGGCCAGTCTGAACAGCTGTGCGAACCCCGTCATCTACCTGCTGTTCAGCGGGAAGCTGCCGAAGACCCTGGTGGCCCTGATGTGTGCGGGTCAGCCCGACCTGAAAGAGTCCATCCAGGAGGAGGCCACCATGGTCAGCTCTCTGTACATCAGCCTCAAGAGTCTGTCAGAGAGCAGACGTCCGGACCCCTCGGACTCTTAAACTCACCTCAGGACAGCATGGTTTTCGCACAAGGAAGACTTACGGTATTGTCATTGCCTAATAAGTGTGAAGAAGACGTCAGTGTAGTTACAATATATTATAGTGAGACAATATTTTTGAAGTAAAACACACACAATAAGTCTTTACAGGGATATTACAATGGAACACTTGCTATCAAGTCGGTATTACTTTACACATTCTTTAAAAACATTGAACGATTGTTTAACTTTTTTTTGAAAACCATGCTTGTGGTGTGGTTCTAGAGATGGTGGTTTATCCATTGGTTGTTCCACCACTTTGGTCCAGACTGACACTACTGGATGGATTCCCATTACTTTTTGTACAGACATTCAGGTTTCCAGAAGATGAATACGTTGACTGATTTCTTTAGCGCTACCAGCAGGTCAAAGTTACAAAAAGATGCATGGCATTCATGGTTCCCTGAGGATGAATCCTATTGACTCTGTTGATCTCCAAACCTTTCTTCTCCTGTCAATATGAAGATGACATGTTGTGGTTTTGAGTGACATTTCTTCACAACTGTTGAATGCATGAATAGTTCCGAGGGGATGAATTGTAATATTTTTGGTGATCCCTCATTTCATTTCATTTCAAACCTTTATTTAATCAGATTGGTTCCTTTAGATCATAGATCTCTTTTTCAAGGGAGACCTGCAGCATATACTAGGTTCCACATGAAACATAAAACAATAAAGGACATCATACATTATATTTACAGGATACATTTACATAGTTATAGACATTTACAAGTGCCCATAGTATCAACGAGCATTTCATTTAGCCTAGCTTTAAAAACATGCAGAGGAATGAGATTGCTCAGTTTCAATTATTGCTGAAGATTGTTCCAAGCAAGTGGAGCTGCGCACATAAAAGCTGTCTTACCTAAGACAGTCCTTGCTCTTGGCACATCTAACAATACTACATCATGCGATCTCAGACAATAGCTGCTTGCAACTCTCTGTGTTATCAGAGAGCAGATATAATACGGGAGTTTAACGGGATCCCTGACTTTTTCCTTTGTTGCATCATCAGGTCAATCTTACATTTTTCCATATCTTCGGTGAACAACCAACTACCTGCACAACTAACTATTCCCATCAGCCTCAGCCATATTCTGAATGAGCATTGGGAGCACCAGGAGCTTTTCCAATTGGCCTCTCGACACATAGCGTTGAGCTAGGTCATTTGGGTACTCAGGTAAAATAGGATAAAAAAGGGTTCTACATCCTGGGCTCTTTTTTTGTTGTAAGCAGCTAATCTTCAAACTAATATAGCATTGGTGCTTAAAAGGTCATTTACATGAAACAATCATTTTGAGATTGAGATAAGTGAGAACATTGCATAAGGTTGATGCAATCACTCCCTGGATGGGGGCAGTATATTGTACAAAAAAAGGTTTAGGTAATACAGTTACATTTTAAAATGGTTAATTCAATATGCATTAGTGGCTAGAGGATTCTCTTGCAAATAGATTTAGTGTCTGATTAGAACTACAACAATGGAAAGGTTGGTTTTGTATTTCTTTAACAGTTTAATTGTCCAATTGTCATTTATTGCAGCTTTTCTTCGCTGCCGCTGGTCTTTTTTATACCTACATTTGCTCAAGAGTTCACATAAATAAAAGTTGAATGAAAGTATCAGCAACGTGACACATTATCAGGTAGAGAAAACGTGTTACCTATCCAACGTTCTCTGAATGCTAAATACTGTGTATATATATATTTTAATGAAATATTAATATGGGAGACAATTGAACGCGAGTAAAATATCCAAAGAAATATGACCCTGAATACATTACATTTCGATTAATAATTGGATAGTTGGAGCTCACAGGAGCATAACACATACTCACTGCTCAGTTTATTCGTTCTCCTTTTTTGGGACATATTGTGTTTTTTTCCCTTATTTATTTAGGAAGGTGGTCTTTTGAGATTTTCAGATAACGGCCATACCTTTCAAATGTTGAGAAGCCCGGGTATATAGTACATTATAATTACAGTATTATGTACAAATGAATATTATACTGGTCAGATGGTTCCAGAGATATTTTCCACCCTGCTGCCAGTGCCATTGTGCCAACATGTGTTTTTTATAGCTATCATTCTCTTCAAAGAAACACATTCTGTTTTACGTCTATTTAACTGAAGTTATTTTAATAACAATTGCTCAGTAATGTTGTTTGAATTAAGTGTGTCATTGGATGTATGGTTGGTGGTGAATCACTGGCTCAGCCTCATATATGTTTATTTGTAAGTAGCAGATGGTAGCATAAAAACACACCTAAACTAAAATGGTTAACATGGTTATCAATATACCTACTAAGCATCTGCATGTACTCTGACATAGCAACAAAGTCTCACGGCATTTCGTGTTATAGTCACGAAATGAATCTATTGATTCGTGTTCACCAACACGATTTCGCAATTTTTTCGTGTCACACACATAGACTGTATATATTAAGTCACACAGAATGATTTTAAAACCAATGTAAATAATAACGAATTAGAAGCAACAACAGATTAAAAAAAATACAGATTTCAGTATTCTGAGGCTGCGAGCCACATTTATTTTCCTCGCGGATTATACAATTAAAATAAAAGGGATTGGGTTAGGCTTAGGGTATTTCGAGGCGTAGTCTGCAGTTCGCTGGACTTAAGGCCCAGATACACCAGTCCGAAATCGGCAGTAAATGGGAGTCGGGCCGAACATGAGCGTGGGCACGCCCTATTC